CTTCACTGGACTGAAAAAAGGTTAGCTAAATCAGAAAGCAGGTCTAATTAAGCAAGTTTATTCTATATCTATAAAAGGCTAAATTGACTCACACATGCATGATACATATAAAGCTCTTGCTGGCGCCAATCGCATGTGTGAGTTTCGATCTGTCATTGTTGATTGTGATTTTGGTTGACACTTCTCTTATAGAGAAAGGGCAAATAGCAATGTTAAAATATTTCTTCTAATTAATTTCCTTTCAATGTGCACAAATTTGTGCACCAGGCCACTAGTAACATGATAAAAATGACAAGAAGAAGAAGATGAGGAGGAGGAGGAGGAGGAGGTGGTTACGTACTAACTCTTCAAATCTGTCTTAAGAGTTTCACCTGATTGGAGTCACTGAATCTTCACCATCAACTTTTTATTTTTCACTTTACCAAAGGGAAACTGAGGCACAGAGGTGTTATCCACACTGCCAGGAAGTGGAAGGACAGGGATTCGGACGCTGCTGGGTTGGTTCCTGAGTCCCGTGTCAACCACGTTGCTATGGAAGCGTCAATCTCAGAACTCAGAAGCCAGTAGGTCTTTTGGTGTCTGGATTGGGAGCCAGATGACATGGGCACAAGTGCCTGCTCATCACGCTGCATCGGGTGCAGAGATGTACCAGGCTGGTTCTTGCCCATAGGAGCTCCTAGGCTGGGGTTGAGAGAGATACCATCTGACACCCAAGCAGTTTGGCTCCAGGAAGAGAGGAACAGGCACCCCAAGGGCTCTGAGGGTTTCCAGATGGGCAACTTTATGCTGGGTTGGGGCTGAGGGTGTGAATGAGGGAAACTCCTTGGAGAAGGAGGCATCAGAGAAGCAGTAAAGGGGCCGGGCCTGCAGAGACGGTGATTGGAGAAGGTGTCAGGGTCTCTAGGATCAGCAGCAAAGAAGGAGCCAGGCAATCCGCCTGGTGTGAGGGGAGCAGAGGTTTGGGAGAAGGTCAGAGGTTAAGTCTGGAAGGTGGACTGAGCTTCGAAGGTCCTTGAATGCCAGAATCAGGCAGCCCTCCCCTAGGACACCCAACACAGTCCCTAAGCCACTCATCAGCCATGTGGTAGATTCAGTAAACTTAGGCCACTATAATTACCACCACGACAAGCACAGATGTACCAGGCAGTGGTCTAACTGCTTTATATTTCACTGCATTTAATCCTCATAACGCAGATGGAGAAACTGAGACAGAGAGTTTAAGTAACCACACTTCCTTCCTTAAACTCATTTCAGCCTCTTGCCTTAAACGTTCCCAAATTCACACCTCCAGCCTGGGCCTCTCCCCGAACTCCAGGTGCATCAGTCCCCACCTGCCTTCCTGCCCCCTCCGCGTGGTCTGTTAGTCCCTCAAATTCAACTTGTCCAAACCCAGCCTCTTCGTCGGCCCCCCTTTGCCCTGACTCCAAACCTGCTGCACTCACCGCTGTGCCCTTCTGGGCAGATGGGCAACTCTCCCCTTCACATCGCCCACCAATAAGCCTGGAGTCTCCTTCCCTTACCCCACAGCTCGTGTGTCAGCAAATCTTCCCAGCTACGCCTTCAAGGACAGTAAACTCAACCCCTTGACCTCTCCCCACCTCACTGCCTCCCGTGGTCCAGCCACCGTCACATCTCTGTAGGACAGTGATGGCGAACCTATGACACGCGTGTCAGAGGTGGCACGCAAACTCATTTTTTTGGTTGATTTTTCTTTGTTAAATGGCATTTAAATATATAAAATAAATGTCAAAATTATAAATCTTTGTTTTACTATGGTTGCAAATATCAAAAAATTTCTATATGTGACACGGCACCAGAGTTAAGTTAGGGTTTTTCAAAATGCTGACACGCCAAGCTCAAAAGGTTCGCCATCACTACTAGGATCACAGTACCAGTCCCTTAATCAGTGTCCCTACTCTCATCTGCCCCCTTCAGTCTATTCTCAACTCAGCAGCAGTGATTCTGTTCATCATTCTTCGTTCCTCCCTCAGCACCTCTTCTCACAGCCTCCCTCTCGGCCAGAGGAAAGCACGGGTCTGGACAGTAGCCCCAAGGGCTGCCCTGCCCTCACTCTGCCTCCTCGCCATTCCCCCATCAGGCCAGGCATGGCCCTGCCTCAGGGCCTCTGCACCGTAGTTCGCCTCCCTGGCACACTCTCACCCAGAGAGCCTTTGGGTCTGTATTCAGATGCCAGCTTCCCATCAGGGCACTACCCACATCCTGTCTAAAATTGCACTTCCTGTCCCTTTCCCTGTCTTATTTTCCTCCCAGCACTGAACACTATGTTTCACCTGGTTTGTTTTCCTCCATCCACCAGGATGTAAATTCCAGAAGGACAGGAACTTTTGTCTTTTGGTCACCACTGTATGCCCAGCTCCTAGACTGGAATAGGTGCTCCATGAACATTTGTTGAGTAAATGGATGAATGAATGACCCAAGGTTACAAGACTAAACACAGGCAGCCTCTGCTCTTAACCACTCATAACTGTTATTGTAATAAAGTGCCCAATGTTAGCTGTCATGTGACCATCTACATTCCCCAGTCTGCCCTACAGCTAGATGTGGCCACATGACTGAGTAGTGGCCAATGACATACAAGAAGAGGGGGCACAGTCAACTTCCAGGAATGTCTTTAAAGAGGTGCAGCCCTGTGACAATGCGGCGGCTTTGGGAATGGAGGATAAAGCAACAAAATCGGAGGAGCCTGGGTCCCCAACATTACACAACCACCATGGGCAACTGCCTCTGGAATTCTCCATGCTAGAGAAAAACAGTGTAGCTGCCAGAGATCTTGGGGGCTATCTTGCATAAGCTACTTGGTGTTCCTTGTCATCTGCCACCAAAGTTAATCCTAACGAATAATTACCCGAGCCTCAGTTTCCTCATCTGTAAAATGGGTAATAGCAGTACCTCCACACAGTTGCTGTGATGATTAAATAAGAAAACACAGGGAAGTCAGCTGGCATGGGGTTTGGAATATAGAAGATGCTTGTTAGATATAATAGAGGTTCAATTCTCTATCACTTGATGATTCTTAAGTACAAAAAGAATGCAAACCTTGGAAACGGTGTAATATTCTGCTTTGAAGAATGACAGCTAGAGCTATACAGGGCCCAGAATGGAGGAGTGAGTTTGCTGATGTTACAGGACCCTTCAGTGGTAGAGCTAAGACTTTTGTCCCTGTTACCCACAGCAGGATACGGATGTGGCAGTTGCCACTAACCAGCACCCTCACTGAGCAGGCAGCTCCCCAGGCTGGGTGTTTGTCAGCCTCAGGGACTGGAGGCTGAGGCCCAAGATGCTCCCCCAGGCTCCCCCTGCACAGCTCTGCCATCGGACACCATGGGTGATGGCTGCGAGCAGGTGGAGGGAGCGGAGGGGCTGTCAGCAGGCTGAGGCAGCGAGCCACCGCAGTGACATTGCACTGCTGAGGAGAAGCTGTGCAGCCGCTCCCAGGGACCCCGCAGTGTCCCAGGCGTCCAGCTGGCCCAGCTCCCATGTGCAGAGACTGCGGCAACGCGACATGGGTTTGATCCTAAGCCATCTGGAAACAAAAGCATGTGCTGGAGTAAAATGTAGCCCTGGACAGTTCCCCTCCTTTGGGGGTGCAGCAGCCTGGGAAAGGGCTGGGGTGGGAGCTCTAGGCCGCTGGCCAGTCCCTGGGGCCTCAACAGCCTCAGGACCTGCAGCCTTGAGCCACTTGGGGGGTGGAGAGTGGGGAAGGGGGCTTCCTCTTGCTATTTCCCAACAAATGGCAGATTAGAGAGCTGGTGCGTTTGGGGCTCAGCCTTCAGGTCACCCCCAAAACATTCTTACTATCATCATTCCAATCTCTCTGTCATATTATCCTTGTAATCTACAAAGTACTTTTGCAAAAATTAGCGCATTGGATGGAGTCAGACAGGGCGCACTTTCACTATTTTATTCCCACGAGAATTGAGGTTGCCTTCCTGGCTCCTCCCCAGCTACCAGCATCCACCTGACTGTGTCAGGTCCTGGGTAGCTGCGGGAAGATCTGCCACTGGCGCTCTGGCACCTGCCTGCGGGTAATTCACACCCAGTGGAAGCAGGTGCTGATGGGAGCAGGGAGGCAGTGCTGGCATGCTGGTCTCTAACAGGTAGAAAATCTCCCCAGAGATGCTAAGGGGGAGAATTGATCAGCTGGGGGCCAGGAGTGTCCCTCAAAGCAGAAACGGGGCCCAGGTATGTCCCAGGTAGGTGTGGCTGGCCCTGCTGGATTCTTGACCAATAGCCATGCTTACAAAGAGTTGCAATTCTTGTTCAGGACGATGTGGTCAGCTTAAAATATTCAGCTTTCTCCCTTGTAGTTATGTGTAGCCACCTGGCATCCGTCTGACCATAGTAGTTGGGTGGGGCTCCCAAGAATGTTTGCTAAGGGAGAGTGGACTTAATAGGGCCTTTGAATGTCCATTGTGTCCATATCCTTTCTTCCATCCCCTTTTCTTCCTGCTGGAATGAAGGTGAGATGCCTGTAGGTAAGCAACCATCTTGTGATTGGGAGGACCAGTCTCAGACTAAAGATGGCCAATCAGGAGGCTTGAAGGTGCAGGGTTACTCTTGGTTACTTCCTGGACATTCCCTGGCTCCACGCTGCCTGGCTCCATGATGGGTTGTTTTGTTTTGTTTTGTTTTGTTTTGTTTTAACCTGGATACTCTTACTCATAACTGAATGCAGTCCTAACTGAGATAGTCAGAGCAATAGTTCTCAAATCCTGCTCCACTTTAGCATCACCCAGGGAGCTTTAAAAGCCCACCAAATGGGGCCTACCCATCACCGTTACATCAAATCTGCAGCAGGGCCCAAGCGTCCGTAGGTCTTGAAAGCTCCCCAGGTGACTCCAATATGCATCCATGTCTGCAAACCAGTGGGTTAGAGCGTCTTAAACTTGAAGGTACAGAGGAACCGCCTGATTCAGTAGGTAGGGGTGGCGGGGGGCAGGGAGGGGGGGCGGCCTGAGAGTCTATTTCTAACAAGCTTCCCAGCAATGCTGACACTGCTGGTGTGTGGGCCACACGTGGAGTGGCAAAGGGTTGGAGCACTGAGTTGGGTCTTTGGACTTTGGCTAAGAGTGATCTCCACAGCCATTACCATCCTCCTCTTCTCCTTCTTGTCTCCTTCTCTTTTCCCTTCTATTTTTCCCTCTTCTTCCTCCTTCACTTGCTGTCACCACCTCAACATATTGAGCAGCTACCACGTGCCCGGCACCAGGCTCAGAGACCCACGTGCCCCATCTCTAATCCTGCTGACAGCTGTGTACGGTGACAGATCTTCTGAGTCCGGGGTTTGCCTGGGTCCATCTGATGAAGCTGGCGTGGATGAGTCCCTCGGCGTCTCTCTGCAGAGCTGGTGTGCATGAGGGCTTTGCGCATTTTGTTTCTGTATTTGAGCCCAAGGAGGAAGGGAACCATTGGAGGGGAACTGGAGAGGAGGGTGGCGGAAGACACACGTTCAGCATGGGGGACAGGCGGTGTCTGCCCTTGATCTGATCGGAGGCGCTCTGCCCGCCCTCTTGGGAGTGAGGCCATTCCCCCCACTTCTGCGCTGCACACAACCGAGCTCCTGTGCCTCGGAGCCTGAAGAGAATCGGCTGCTCCTCTGGTTCCCTGAAGGGTTAAGTGGTTTTGTTTGTTTTGCTCTGGAAACCATGGAAAGACGGCGGAGGCAGGCATCTCTGGGGGCCTCTGCCCAGCCTACACTTTGCCATCGCGGAGAAGTGTCCCCACCCCCAGCCTCTGCAGCCACGTCTGTTCCTGCGACTCTGCTTCTTCCTGACCGAGGGCGGATTGGACAAGGCTGGCCATCTGCCCCAGGGGGAGCTACATCACTGGTTTGGCTGAGCCAGTCAGCAGCTCCTGGGAACAGGGAAAAGAAAGGGATGCTTGTGGCTAGTCCGAGCGAAGCCCAGAGGCCAGGTGTGGGGGGGTGGGGGTGGGGAAGGAGGGCAGAACCGTCATCTTCGGCCCATAGGGTCAGAGGCATAAAGATCAGATTTGCAGGAAGAGAAAGTGCACAGAGAGAAGCAAGGGTGAGAGAGAAGGCAG